AATTTCTAACGTCCTTGGTAACACTCCCCTATATACGAGAGTGAAGGACTAATAAACAGGAATTTCTAACGTCCTTGGTAACACTCCCCTGGATACGAGAGTGAAGGACTAATAAACTAGATTTTCTAACATCCTTGGTAACACTCCCACTAGAAACGAGAGTGAAGGACCAATTTCATTAATCTTAAGATTGGAGACACGTCCTTGGTAACATTCCCCTAGATACGAGAGTGTAGGACTACCCCCGTAACCAGAATTTCCTGGAGGGAGAATGTGACTTGAGTGTATAGATCTATACGAGATTGACTATCCCGTACCTGGCTGCTAGCTACAGTCGGACCGACTGGTCCACAGGTGACAAAAGTCATAAAACGATACTGGCCCCATTACGAGCCGTATCTAATCTATTGTATGGTTATGGAACTCGCAACTTAGATTATGAAAAATTTTCTACTTACTTATTAGTTTTATATACATGTTAAAACTAATGTACTTTTCAAGGATAACCTGACTTTCAGGATACTTCTCTTAACGATACAAGTATGGTAGATACTTGTACATTGCATTCCGAATCGATAACCAATCACAAACTTTTAAGGAAAATATGGTTTTTTCCTGGGATAACTGAACTGTTCTTAACCAGATTGTGTAACAAACGGATAACTAAACTTTTCTTATAAGAAAATATGGGATTTTCTTGGGTAACAACTTTTTTTTTTCAGAAAACCAAAGGAAGCATGTTGTTTTACAGAAACAAACCGCTTATGAACTCACCAGCTTTATGCTGATATTTCTAAAACTGCTTGTATTCTCAGGTCAACGTTAGACAGGTACCCCGCGTTCTTTTGGAGAAGACGGATCATTTTAGCAGTCTCGTCTTTACTTTTGTTATATTGATGTATATATTAAACATGTAACTTTACTTTCAAATAAATGTAAATATTCCTTTGTAATGTAATGGTTGTGTTTACTATGCTTACTATGTACATTGGTTGTGATACTTTACATGACGTCCTCCGCCCCGGAACGTTTCCGCCTTCGGTTTCGGGGTGTGACACCACGTGCCTCCTACTTTCCATGCATGGCCCTTCTTTGCCAACGTTTCCATTGAGGGCCATAAATGACAACAACTTCAAAGCGTTATAACTCCTTCATCCTAAGTCCGTTTCCAGCGAACTTTATATCCATGGAAAGGTGGCGAGAAGCCCTAAGCTTCTAGCAACATACCCCAGCCCGAAACATTCTCGAATAAAACTCAAAGCCCATAAATGACCAGAACGCCCCTAGCATTGGCTTCTGAAAATCCCTAAATGAATATTTTAGAACAGGGCGTTACAAGCAAATATACTAATGAGTAAAATGCCAGATTTCTACATAAAAATTAGGGTATGTTCGTAATCTGTTCCCCTTCCCCCTTCCCCTCCCCCTTGCCCCTTCCCCTTTAACCTCCATATTTTTCAAAAGTATGTCACATGCAGATAGACTAATTTCTTAGCTTTAAAATTAGTATTTGCACACCTCTATCCGATTTTTTCTGCAATTTATGGCGAATTTTACAAAACTGTCTCGCATAACAGTTTAATCAGGACCAGTCTGGGTAAACGGTTGTTTTTACCCTATCTATCTTTGTATTATATGTCTTGCAACATAAGGATAATGATAATGAGGAAAGCATGTTACCCGTGAATGAAAATGAGCTCATGAAAAATAGAATAGTTTCCAACTCAAATATAACAAAATTTCGCTTTTGTACTATCATACCGATATGGATATATAAATAATCATATGAATCAAGTACATTATGCATAAGTTGAAATGCCACAATTTGTCATAAGCCAATGCTACTTTTCATGGTCAACCCGACAAGCAAATCTCTAAAATTCCCGATTGGAATGCTCTCTATTATGGCGTCTCTCAAATCTATCTCATATATGTTCTTGTACAATTTTCTTATATTCTTCATATCATTCTCACTTTGACTCATGATTATACGTTCCAAGGTGCTCTCATCCTTAGTTTTTCCTTTCATGCTTGCTTCTAGTGCCTGAAATTAAAGTAAACAACTTAAAAAAACCATAAATATAAAAGATACTAGTTAAGATCATTTGTTGTTATATGTTATTTCATTAGATATTATATATCGAATAAACCAAGGAATCAGGATTACTTGAAGAACTATAAAGTCGTGAATCTAATCTTCATTATATTATTATACAATTCTTTAATTCCACATTTTAATGTGATATAAGTTAATTTAATATAATTCCACCTTTGCATAATATTTTGGAGAATTTTTTAAGAATTTCACCACAAATCGTAGGGCCTCTTCAAACTCGCCATGATATTTATTTTTGAAATGCTGCAATAAAAAACAAATTAATTATTCACCATCTTCAAATCAATTTATATAGTAACACAAATTATCATGTGAAATAGTAGTCAAATGTTTGACCTTTGTATAGGAATGACCATAAATATGCTTATATATTGAAAAAGTGAGTTTGAGTTGTGGAATGCTTCTTTTACTTAGAATTTCAAGCACAACTCCCTCATCAATCTTGAACCCTCCACTTGTTGCTTCTCCTGTTTGAAATAGTCTTTGGGCGTCACACTTGCCAATGTGTACACTAACATCTGCACTATGAGCCTTTTGTGATGCACTCAACGCCATTAAAATCTACCAAAAAAAAAAAAAAAAAACTTTTAATCAACCATTTCCCATATGGGTTTGTGTACTCTTATGTATAAAGAGTTGTATTATATTGATATATATATATAAGTATTCATTCAGAGTACAAATACTCACGCACAAGAAAGAAATATCAAGTTTTGGGTCTGGGATGGGTTTGTATGCTATGTGCGAAAAGTTGTGCATTTCACAAAGTACAATCATCTCTGTGCAAAGTACAACAATCGATGCACAAGTCAAGAAAGGTTACCTTTTGGTAAGAATGTGGGGGTTCAATACTCATAATGTCTTGATCCAAATGCCTTCTGAATTTACTTTGATAAGCTTGTTGAATGAGGAAAAAATGGCTTGATTTCCTACCGACATAAATCTCAATGAGAGCCTTGTAGTTGACACAACCCCTTTCTTTAAAGATTGCATTTTTAGCTACGATAGCATCGCGTTCATGTAGATTAATCATCGACAATGACAAGATTGTGCATGTTTTTGATGCCCCACAATCAATCTTGTTATGTAGATGATCTAATAAATCTTCACCATACATCTCCATGTACTTATCTCGGATCTTTTGGCATTCATGTTGAGTTGATAGACCCGTGAAGACCCGAACCAAGAGGCTAAAATTTCCCAAATTGCCATGAATTTGCTTGCAAATATCTTCAATTGAGCTTTGGGTTATTGGTTCTTCCATGGCTGGTTTAAGGTTCAATTCAATGTATGTGGTGTATATATATAGGAAAAGCATTACTTGGAAGGCAAGTTGTGTACTTTTTTCTTTTTATTTTTCATGGAGTCATGGTCCACTAGAATAAACGGCTACTTTTTTCTTTATATTTTTCTTGAGAAAGTTGTGTACTTTTCCCATGAGAAAGTTGCTCTATTCCAAGTGTGGTCAACTATGATTAGTAGAACACGAGTTGCTGAATTTGATTATGTTTTGTATACGTTGCATATTTTATTTGGTTAATCTTCAAATAAATTTGTTTAACAAATAGGGAATAGTATATGCTAATTCAAAGTTATATTTTTGTTATACCAAAAATCAAACTTCCGAAATTATAATATTTTATAGACCAATACAACAAAAAATGAATAATGTGATTTTTTAAAAGTTGAAGTGCCTATTTACCTACGCATTGTCATTTTTACTATAAATATTTTTATTTTAATGTTCTACTTGATTACTAAAAAAAAGTTTGTCTTTTATTTTCTTTTTTCCATTGTGTAGAGACCAAGTGTAGGGTGGCAAGTGATATGTGAGTGTACTTTCGTATTCTTATGCAAAAGTGCATCAAGAAGCTTTTGTATTCTAGCGATTTAATGGATTTTCTTGTAGGCAATGAGTATGAAATTGACTAACCTCATCATAACTTATAAAATTTACTAAGTAGTCGGAATTTGTTAACTTAACTTAGAGATTTAACTTTATATATTATGTTTATGTATTATTAAATAAATTATACAAAATACATTGCGCATTATCAAATAAATTATATACAAAATACATAAATAAATCAAAAGGAGTTAAAGACATGTAAATCAAAACTAGATCAAGAAAATGTTAGGTATGAAGTATGAATGTTTGTAATCCTCAAAGGACAGAATAAAGGTACCTTTAGTTGAGAAAAGTGAGATGATGTGTACATGGAAATGAAATAACATACACAGTTAAAAGTTGAATAATTATTTTCTAATCAAACGTGTAAACTGCAACCCTAATGATCATTTCTTTTTAAACTTTTAAAACATTACTGGTATAATGTATTTAATATTAAATATAAGAAGCATGGCACGGGTCCCACATGAGACACACTACGTCTCATCATTTTACGTGCACATGGATGACAAAACCTTCTTTTTCTTGTGTTTATTATGATCTTAGTTTAGTTTTTGAGTGTCGAGTTCTAAGATAAACCCACATTGAACGAACTTTGATCGGTTTTTGCCAAATTAAAAACCGTACCATCGATTTTTATATCATTAATTTCAGTTTGTTATGGTTTATTCAATTTCTTTTTATCGATTCAAATTTTGCTTACAACTAGATAATATCTTGAGCAAATTAAATGTTTGGTTACCCAATACCCAAATTTGCACAATAAGTCTCAATACTGACATCATAATGATATTAGATCAAACAAGATAATTTTATGATCATTATGTTTGGTTAGACTATATGAATGGAATAAATTTTTTATATTATATGTATATAGAATATGTAAATTTAACAGACATCTATTTATAAATAAATTAAAAAAAAATCAAAACATTCTTTTTTGGATCCAAATAAAAAAAGTGCAAACCACTCTAATCATGACAGGTGTCCTCCTGCTTCTTCTAAAGAATCTATCCCACATTTCACCATATTAGGTAGCAACTCATGTATCGAATGAAGATCACCCACAAAGTGAAAAGCATACATCAACACTGTATAAACCCTAACATCAGAGATCACACCATTGTTAATCATCATCCTGAAAAAACCCTTTGCTTCATATGTCAAACATCTTTTACACAACCTATTAATCACACCACTGTAATCCCTAACACTCACTTCAAACCCCATTTCCACCATTTCAGAGAACACCACCATTGCTTGATGCACATCACCCTTTACACAATGTGCTTTAATAAGAATCGTATAAGCAGCCTTCTTTAATTCAACATTATGCTCCTTTAAATACAAGAATAACTTATCAACATCATGTAAATCACCATACACACATAACCCATTCATAAGAATGTTATATGTAACTGCATCAGGCTTAAGATTATGTGACATCATTTTATCATGTAACTCAAACGCCTTTTCAATTTCTCGAGCTTTACAGAAAGATTGAATCAGAATGTTGTCTCAAACTTCATCAGGAAAAATCCCATGTGAGAACATATGATTAATCTGTAACAGAGATTCTTGAAGCTTTTTTTGTTTACAAAGACTTTTTATGATTACAGTGTATGTGACATGAGTTGGTTCTACACCATTACTTTCCATTTCCTTCTTCATATCAAACACTTTTTTGCATATTTCCTTCTTCACAAAAAAAAGTTCATAAGAGTAGTGTATGTTACAGGATTAGGTACTAATCCATGATCCTCGATGTTATGAAATGACCTCATTACCCCTATTAAATCTCTAGCTTTACAGAATCCATATATCAAAGAATTAAACGTGACAACAGTGGGATCGATTCCTCTCTCTGTTATTTGATCAAACAATTGTATACTCTCATGATTCATACCGAGTTTTGCATACTTATTGATCATAATATTGTAAAGAACAATATCTTGAATATCATCACCACTAGTTAACATATCAAAGTGCTTTCTTGTTTCAAAGAGTGATCCTCTACTACAAAAGCCCAATAAAACAGCTCTATGAGTGAAAACATTAGGAAAGATTCTATTGTTGCACATTTCCATGTATACGTGAATTGCTTTTTGAATCTCCCCTTGTTTGCAAAAACCATGAATGATGATAGAATACATAACATCAGGTTTTAAACCCTCTATTTCCATCTCATAAAGCAAACATAAAGCTTCATCAACACGCGCAATCTTACATAAACTACTAACTAAAACACTATATGAGATAAAGTTTACTTGATACCCATAAGAAACCATTTCATTTTTCAAGTTCATGCTTTCATCAACTTTTCCTTCTTGACAATTCCCACATATGAGTAATGTATATATGATACTATTAGGGTTCAACCCTTTTGATAGTGTTTCTTGAATCATCTTTGATGCCCCATTTATCTTACCAAGAACATGAAAACCTTTAGCAAGTGTGTTGTATGTTACTGAATCAGGGTTGACTCCATGTTTGACCATGTCATTAGTCAACTTCAATGCATCTTGAAGAGAACCCGCGATACATAGTCCATTGATAAGAATATTGTAACTGTATGCATCGGGTTTTACTCCAAATTTCAACATCAAACAGAAAATCGATTGAGCAATATCTCCAAATCCCATTTTGGAGAAACTTGACATGACTGTGTTAAATGAAGCAACATGAGGTGGGGAATCTTTGACATGAAGAAGGGCTATGGCTTCTTGCATTAAGGATTGCTTACATAAACCATCTACAAGGATGGAATTTGTTTGTTTGGTTTCTTGGATTCCAGTCTCTTTGATGTCATTGTACACATCCCACATGCTTTGAGAGTGTCTTAGGTTGTGTAATAAGCTGTTGTAGGTTAATATTGAAGGTTGAATGTTGAAATCTTTCATTTTGGCTATAATGCAAAGGGCATCATGAACCATGTTGGATCTAGAGTAAGCAAATGCAAGCATGTCCCAAACAATTGCATTTGATTTCCAATTCTTGAATTCAACTGAAAGAAGCTCACAAAGTGAAGGCCCAGAACTAGAGCCTATCAGAAGAAACAATAAACATGCATGTTGATTTCCATTTATAAGGATGTAAACTAACAAGCTTTCTTATGATCTAATAATATATAAAATTCCATAATTTCGAATTCCAAAGTGATTTCTAACTATTTTTATGTACAGAGCAATAGAGAAACTTCAAAAAAAATACCTTCATCTTAAAGCATTTGCATGAAGTTAGAACGCAGCAACTTAAGCCTCCGTTGACTAGCCAACACATGAGCAATAACGAGCTGAGAAACTCTCGAATGCTTAAATCCATACTCATTCTTCAATAATTCAAACAACTCCACAACAGAATCTGGGTCGTCCTTTCGCAAGTGATCTATAATTTCATCAACCTGAGTGGAATTCAGGTCATAAACAAGGGGTTTAAACCAATGTTTCACACCGAGTGATTTGACACCAGAGCTACCCAATACTTTAAACAGGGAGATGATACCGAAAGGAAAGGAACCGTTTGCAGCTGGGGAAGTGGTTGAAGGTTCTAGTTCAAGGGATTCCGCAGATAATAATGATGAACATTTAGTTAAAATGAGGGTTGAAGGACTTAACCAAGGAAAAGGAAGATGAAAAAGCGATTGACATTGATGTCCAATACGATTGAGAATGAATCGATTGTGGTTCAGTCGAAAGGGGGTAGTTCTGGCGCCAATTGCATCATAGGCACCGACAATCTGCGAATGAATCAACAAAGAATAGGTGCTGTTTGGTTCAAATAAATAGAAAGATTATTGTTACAGAACAGCATGGTTTTCAATGACATTGGTTTCACATATAAATAAACATTGATATTCACATATTCAATTTTCGTATATATGGATTACACAGCAAAAAAACGGGTCAATTCGATTTTGACGACTAGATGAGATGAAGAGTCGATCCGATTTTGACGAACAGGAGAAGTGAGATGATAAGTTTTTTAAGAAGACTAAACTAATGGTTGGTTTGCTGAAAATTCACTTTGGACCAGTAAAAGTTTTTATTTGCTAGTTTGATCTAATTACTTTAAACTTTTTTTAATGATGATTTTACTGTTGTTTTTTGTTTTTTTAGTTTTATTTATTTAAATATTTTTATGATTAAAAAGAAAATAAAAAAAATACTTCTCTCTCTCTCTCTCTCTCTCTCTCTCTCTCTCTCTCTCTCTCTCTCTCTCTCTCTCTCTCTCTCTCTCTCTCTCTCTCTCTCTCTCTCTCTCTCTCCTGTTAATATCTTCTTGGCCTGGTTTTCACATACATATGCTGCCGGAAAATCAGATCAGTTAGAAACCTTCTGTCGGAGTCGCCATCGTCATGTCGGAGTCGCCACCCTCTCGTCTCTGTCCCCCCACTTTTGTTTTCATCAACAGAAACCCTAACTATGGTTTTTTGTTTACATATATGTGGTTCATGGTTCATCAGACCCACCTTATCGTCGGCCACTGGTTGTTAGAACTTGGTATGTCTTCTCCGATAACTGTGACAAGATCAAGCTGACGACCACAAAACTTAGATGTTCAGACCTCGCTGGCCAAAAGTGCTAGACCTTTCCGATCTCAGTTCTTTCGTCGTCGGTTCTTTACAGGTAGCAGTGAAGAGCTCAAGGTGACGAAGGCTTTCAAATCAGAGGGTTTTTAGATGGGTTTTTTTGAGATCGAAGGGTTTTCAAATAGGTTCACAAGCGGTGTCGATGTTCACAAGTGCAGATCTAGAAATCTTTCTCATCGGAAATTACCGATGAACACGGTCGAAGGCTGCGACGGATTTGACGAAGGGTTACAGTGATCTTAAACGACTTGAGAAAAGGGTTATGACTCCCTCCAAAATGACCGCCATTTATTCATCTTTGTCTTTACAGATCTAATATGCATGAGTTACGGTGGAGATGAAGGAAGACATAGATCTATATCGACAGTGGTTTCGTTGGTTTCCCACAGAAATGGTAGCAGTGACGGTGGTTTCCAATTATTCTTTTCAGATATGAGGTTTTCAAGGAGATGGTGGTAGTGGTGTTGAGTTGCGGTAGTCGTATAGGCTAGATGTGTTGACCCGTGGTGGTGGTGGTGACGTTCATCATTTCCGGTGGTGGCGTTTATCTTTTTCAGCGGTAGTGTTCCGACTTTCCGGTGTTCTCTAAAGAGAGAGAGAGAGAGTGAGAGAGAGAGAGATTGCATATTTTATTTACTTATTTTATTTCTTTACAAAAAATTATAAAAGTAAAATAGAAAAGACAAATTTTTTTATTTTTCTTGTAAACAGAAAAATATTTAAATCAATAAAAAACTAAAAAAGATAAAAGTAAGGGTAAAATCGTTATTATGAAAAAGTTTAAAGCAAATTGGACCAAACCCGCAACAAAATGAAAACTTTGGACCTGTGGTGCTAATCCAAATCTTTTTGGACCAAAGTTACAATTTTCAGCAAACCATAGGGACCATTTGTGCAGTTTTGTCTTTTTAGAATGGTTTTATTAAAATAAAAAGGGATATTTTCATCATTTTGTTGGAGGACCATACGAATGAATGTTTTCTCATTTAGCATTCCTTTTTCCTTCTTAAGGGGGTGTTTGACTTATCTTTTTCAGAGGGCAAAATGATTTTTGGGAAAAGTTACAAAAAGGCAGGATTTCCTGACTTTTCCAAAAAGTCAGTTTTCCTTCTATTGCTTTTAAAATACTTTTACCAAACATCTTTTCCATTCTATATTTTTCTAAAAGTCTTTTTGGTCTCTAAAAAGATAAACCAAACACCCCCTAAAATTGAACTAAACTTAGGAATCTGAAAGAACTAGAATTCTTTTTTTTGAATTCCAATAATTTCATGTCAACCAAACGTGCTACGTGCTCTTAAGTTTTTAATAAGGAAGTGAAAATAGTTTTTGTAAAATGGTAAAACCCAATAAGGGTAAAGAGGGCAAGTAATATTGTTCGGTCAAACTACAAAGACCTTGATAATAAAAATAAGGGTTTCTACCACAAAATCTGATCCAGTAAAAATCGATCAAATTCATCAAATTAGCCCGAATCCAACCCAAAATTAGTAGATTGAGTTAAGATTTTCAACTCATTTAAGTTAAATGGTCAACCTGTATAACTCTTTTACTTAAATATGTTGGATAGGATAAAAATTATCAACATGTTTTCAACCCATAAACTCATTTAACTCTAATATATATTTAATTTAATAGTTGTTTAAATATTATAAAATTAATCTAAGTATTAATTTATAATTATAGTGTTGTATTATTATTTATGATTTCAAAAATACACTTGTAAATCCTATACGTTTTCTTAGGCATATACAACACTAGCAATTCTTCAATATCAATTAGAAATTAAATATCTTTAATGTTATTTGATCATTTATTTGTATTTGTAAATTGAGATTGTGTTTTTGTCATACTTTAAAATTTTATTTAAGTTTGTAGCTTATTTAAACGAAGTAATGTAACATCATCCTCTGATACCATTTATAACATACTCATCTGATACCTTATAAAGGGGGTTGAAGGTGGGATGCACTTGATCCCATGTCGGTTGGAAAGGAGAACTAAAAGTTATTTATAATAGGTGTGGATACCTTCCATATCACAAACGTTTAAAGTCGTAATGGCAGCAGATCCCATAAGAACTCTATAGTTAAATGTGCACGGACGAGAGCAATCCAAGGATGGATGACCCCTAGGATGTTTTCGTGTCGGCGGCCCAAAGCGGACAAAATTATGATACGTGCTAGAGGGAGATGTTACATATGGTATCACAGCTAGGACACAAGTGGATATCTTCGGAGGGGATGTCGAACCCTATAATGGGCGTGAAGGTGGATTGTACCTGATCCCACATCGGCTTGGAAGGAGAACGAAACATTTCCTTATAAGGGGTGTGGATACCTTCGTTGTCACGACGAGATACTGGATAATTAGGAACTGCGTATCGCCTAGCAGCTAAAGTACTTGTTTTAAAGTTGTGAGGGTAGCAGATCTCATAAGGACTATGTAGTTAAGCGTGCCCGGGCAAGAGCAATTAGGGATAGGTGACCTCCCCCTAAGAAGTTTTCGTGTTGGGAGCCCAAAGCGGACAATATTATGATACATGTCAGAGGAGGATGTTACAAATGGTATCAGAGCTAGGGCACGGGTCGATGTGTTCGATAGGGACGTCGAACCCTATAATAGGGGGTGAAGGTGGGTTGCAACTAATCCCACGTCGATTGGGAATGAGAATTAAGAACTTCATATAAGGAATGTGGATACCTTCCCTATCACAATACGTCTTAAAGTCGTGAGGGCAGTAGATTCCATAAGAACTCTGCAATTAAGCTTGCCCGGACGAGTACAATCCATAGATGGGTGACCCCCTGGAAAGTTTTCGTGTCGGAAGCCCAAAGCGGACAATATTGTGATAGGTGCCAGAAGGGGATGTTACATGTAATCTTAAGTTATCTTTTTCAATTTTTAAATTTTAAATGGGTTAACCTAGATTTAACCCATTTATCTAATAGGTTGGGTTAAGAAGTACATAAACAGGTCAACCCGTTGACAACCCATTTATCTGGAAGGTTGGGTTGGGTTGGAAATATCAACTCACTAGGAGTAAAACCCGTGTATTACACGGGTTGATTAAATAAAATAAAATATTAAAATGTAAATAATAATTATTTTTTAAAATAAAATTTTGAAATAAGGAATGAAGAAACATATTAATTGTAATTTATTATAATAATTATTACATTTGATACTTTACATATATAAATATAAGATGTAACACTCTAAAATTTTCAAATAAAATTTTAATTTTTTAAAACCACCCAAAACACAATTTCACATTCCTCAAATTCAAATGTAACACCTGATTCTCGGTATGTATTAATTCAAGGTTTCTTGTATTTGTTTTGGGACTCGACGAATTGATGTCCCAACTCGTCGAGTAGAGTCGCAACCGCGGGAGAGTTTAAGTGGCCTACTCGACGAGTCGGGAGCCTGACTCGGCGAGTAGGTACTGTTTGGGTGAAACCCTAAATCCGAGGGTTTGCACCCTATTTAAACAACTTATCCCAGCCTCCTTCGTCCCTATCAATCCCATAAGACAGTATATCGAAACCCTAGCCTTGTTTGTGTGCCCTAAGGCCATTTTGGTGTATTTTGGTGGGCTGTGAAGCTTTAGAAGAGGAAAGGAGCTTGGGAGTGCAAGTTGGGGCTTAGAGATCCAGGAGATTTGTTCCATTTCCAGTTCATTCAGGGTAAAAATCTCTTGTCTTGGTCTTCTATGTGATTATTCATCTTTGGAGTTGAGATTTTGGGGGCTTTCTAATCTATTTTTGGATTATGAAGGGATTGAATGGGGTTTGACTTCAGATCTGGGCCTTAAGAGGGGTCTCATGGCATAAAGGTGCCAACTTTATGGCCATGAGAGCCCCTACTTCTTGTAGGTCACTTCTTATGGCTTTTTGAGCCAAAAACTCATTGCATGTGCATCAAGTTTGGGACTTTACATGTAAAATGGGCATTAGGAAGCCAGATCTGTGGTTTTGGTGTGTTAAGACCCCTTTAGATCGACTGTATGGTGATGGTCAAGAGTGAGCTCGACGAGTCATTCTTCGGACTCGACGAGTTAGAGCGTAATGACCATCAAATCCTTTTGTCGAAGGACCAGATGAGAGCAAGGAATGTCCCTTAGTTGTTCAAGCTCATTAGGGGGCCTGTGAGTTATGGGACTCGACGAGTGCTTGGAGTAGGCTCGACGAGTCCAAGGGAATCTCCTAAGGACTCGAAAAGTTGTTCATACACCTCGGCGAGTCGTAGACTGGACGTGTTCAAAGGAGGGAGGTTGGCTCGATGAGTTCAAGGTGAACTCAGCGAGTCAGATGAAGTTGGTCCTGAGGGTAAGATCGAAGAAGAACCCGTCGAGTTCTTGCCAGACTCGATTAGTGGAGATGGGGATTTGCATCGAGTTGATGGGTATGGACTCGACAAGTTGGTAGACCAACTCGGCGAGTCAGGTCAACTGGAAGTTGACTTTGACTAGATTGGTATGACCCCGATTCGGGTTGCATACTCAAATGAATAAATTTGAAGTATTGTAGTGTAGGGATCGAGGGGTCGTGGGTAGTCGACTTGTACGCCGAAGATAGTTCAGACAATGCACGACATCGAGGTGAGTTACCTTCTAGTAAGGGTGGGTCTAAGGCCACAATGCCGACCCACCATCAGGGGTATTTGGTGGATAATTGTCTACGTGATAATTATCTTGGTATGTTTATGTAATATGGTTATAAGATAGGCCTATATGATATGCAATGTGTATGTTAGTGGTAGTAGTCGGGAATAGTTTTCCCTGGCATCGGTCGTTAGGATTGAAGGGTAGGTT